GAAGCATGAAACATACTGTCACCACTTGGTGTTGACTGTCGACAAGATTTCAATCTCCCTATCCCCTACATCCCAAATGTGCTCTCTAGAATTGATATACGGTGACCGTGGGGGTCACGTTAACACAGAAAACTCATTGCTGTCATTTATGAATCAATCTGCGTGGATTTTTGATTTGTCACACGGTGTTGTCCTGCTGGATGTGGCTATCAGAGGTTGAATGCACCATATTCATATATTGAGGCACATGGTTAGTCATAAAACTAGACAAGCTACACAATGATTAACAATGATTCATTGGTGCCAAAGGTACCAATGTATGCCAAGAAAACCTTCCCCATACTATTTCATTTTTATCACGTTTTATGAACCGTTGATGTAATTCAAGATGGCTCCATATTTTTATAGTTTCGCAAATTTATGGCTCTAACATTCAAATTATGCAGCAGAAAACACCAGACATCAGACCAGGCAACGTTTTCCAATCTTCTATTATGCAATTTTTATTAACCTTAGCGAATTGTAGTTATTTTGTTTTACCTGACAGGGGTAACACCCAGCGTGCTCTTCTGTTGCTGTAGGCCAACGGCTTCAATATTTGTATATGTTACACGATCAGAGATGCTCTTCAGTATACTAGCATTGTAAAGAGTGGTTGTTTGAGTCATAGTTATAGGAGGCACGGTGGAGTAATGGATAGCGGTTCGGATTGAGGAATCGGAGAGCCGAGTTCGAATTCCAGTCGAATTCATTACATTCACTTACGTGCTAATATCCTTGGGAAAGGTATGAATCCTCTTCTTCTCTTCCAAGCTATGGGTAAATAGCGGGACGGACCGGCTTCTATAGCCTTGGATAGCAATTAGTCTACCGCAGAAAGACAATGTATCGAAAGATATATGATCGCCTAAGCGTGTATCACGCATGGTACATGACTGACAGACTGTTGCCTTTACAAATCTGGTCATTCTCCTCAGACCTCTTTCATCAACAAGAAATTTCTGATCACTGGAATATTCCTTTTGACCATCTGAAGTTCTTTAAATATGGAACCAACAAATATGTCGCGTTCAAAATACTTTTCTCTCCCATAGTAATGTATGAAATGAAATTAAACCGGGCGTCATGACTGTGTTTAAATGTCTACATCTAATAAATAGTTGTCACGTCATTAGGAATTAGTATAAGAGAAAATTTGTTCAATTGCACTTAAGTAGCTAGTGGGTGTATATTAATCTATCTATCTATCTATCTATCTATCTTGGGTTCTAAAATTAAAATTGAATTAAGTATACTCTTATTGACTTCAAGCTCAATCGTGTGGTTCTGAACAGCAGTAAAGAAATAGTAGCCATTTTGAAGATATTACTTGACTGCGACTAATTTCTATGTAGTATGGGCCTTAAAGCAGGTTTGAGAAATACTCACAAGGCAAAAACTGTTTAAACGCTTCACGATCATTAAACAACATTAGAAATGTCCAAATTCTTTGAAAATGGTTATTATACTATGAAATGTTTATAACTCCCGCTGCATGCGGTGTATGAACAAACAAAGGGACGATACGGAAATGAAATAGTCAACCCGAATGAAAATTGAGATGCGCTATCAACCGCTTACGAATATTAAAAATCTAGTCGAATTCATTTGGTCGCTATTTGTCTAAAGAGCCATGATGCTACATGACTGAAACGTTCAGCAACATTCATCAAACCAATTGTTTGACATCCATTGAAGTCGAATTACTAATTAATTGTTAACATTATGTTTGGTAGATGCCTGATTTTGATGCACAGATTGTGTTTTGTTTAACATTGATTGTTTTGAAGTAATAATGATAACTGTTATATTGAAGTTAGCTAAATTTATTTTAATTTAATTAGTTATGGAGTTTGTAGTTACAGTGTAACCCGGATATAAGAGACCCGGATATAAGAGAAACCCGGATATAAGAGAGATTTTCTCTGGTCCCAAATTAGAGCCTGTGTTAATGTATATAAAATAGACCCAACCCGGATATAAGAGAAACCCGGATATAAGAGACTTCTTCTCCGGTCCCGACAACTCTCTTATATCCGGGTTACACTGTAATATAACTAGCTTTGTTTTGTGTTGTGTTAGTTATACTTTCTGTTTTTGTTTTTTTATGATTTTCATTTTGCATTGCATATGAAATACTAACATGGACTATTTAAAAAAAAATCTCTTCATCAGACAGATACACCGAACTGCAAAGTATAATGTCTCTTAGATAAAAGCCTATAATTATTCCAGATTTTATCTTATTATTGTGAAATGAGCAAGAATTATTAGTTCATTTTACTTCTTGATTTACAGTAGACAGTTCGTTTTAAACTGGAATTAGAATCCCCTAATTATGTGCGTCATCTGGGCCAAATAGCATATGAAAATGGATTTCCAGAAAGTGATATTCACAGATGAGTGTATGAAGGCGATAGGTGGTACCGGTAGTTGGCGAAACGCGTAGTAAGAGGAACCTAAATCTGTTTGGTTGAGGCGTTAGCAAAGAGATGGAGACAAATTCATAGAAGGTGGACGGTGACGTTAAAATTTCTTCCGCCGACATTGAATTAATAAAGTCTAATCTTTGGCCATAGCTTAAGAAGACTGGCATTCGAAACTAAAAATTATTTCCATAGAAAACAACACTCCAGCTCACATTGCCAGTGAAACTAATAAATACTTAGGTAAATTAGATTAAAAACAACAGGCTTATGGTCTTGACGCCGTTTCGTTCATCAGATCTAAACCCCATTAAAAACAGTTTGAGCATTGCCAAGAGGAATGTTATGAGGGTAGCAAGCAATTTATATCGAAAAATGAACTATAAGAAGCAATATTAAGTGTTTACAAAGCGATTACATCTGAAGAAATTCTCAAATAACAAAATAAATTATTCTGTTGAGAGTTGGTTGCTTCAAATCATCATAGCGAATGGAAATTATGCAGCGAAATATAATATTACTTTTCCGCGCCCTTTGTTACACACTGCTTGTTCTTTCTTTGAATAAATGATTCTTAGGTTAATCATTGGCTTTCAATTTTTTAAGCCTACATACTTTCTCATTGATGAATGCAGAAAAAGTGGAACGTTCTATGAATCCTTTTTTTATTTGTTCAGGCTTAAATTAAATGTTATTCCTTATTACGACCTAGGATTTCGATATATTCGGCATAGCCAAAAGACTTATATTTGATAAAATTTTGTGACTTTCCAATGAATAATTTTATAGTTGTTGTATTTTTTATTTGCATAAAACTTCGCAATTCTCTCTCTTTTCGTTCTCTATATATATATATATATATATATATATATATATATATATATATATATATGTATGTATGTATGTATGTATGTATGTATGTATGTATCTATCTATCTATCTATACATATATATGATCGTTCTCAAATTTAAAAAAGCCTTGATAAACCAATGACATTCTTCTTCTTGTATATAAACACGTGCAACAAAATAAATCCTTACTTAAAATTTTTTATTTACCTTGATATATTTACATATATATATATATATATATATATATATATATATAATAATGATATATATGTTAATGATAATATACGAGCCTCAACTCTTTCTCTCTCTCTTTCTTTCTCTCTCTCTCTCTCTCTCTATATATATATATATATATATATATATATATTCTGTAGCTCACGATGGCTTGTGTTATGTTATTTTGAACGTATAATTATCGATATTTCGAAGATAATATTCTTTCATTAAAATTACAATTTTCGTTCGGTAATTAATGAGTAAATACTGAATGTTTCATTAAACTACATCAAACATTTGACTTTCAGTAGAAGTTTTAAAGCCGAGTGTGTTTAGGCAAAGCAATTTTCAACTTGATTTCTTATACGTTTTTGTATAAATATAAGCACAAATGTCAAAAACAAAAACAATATATATAATGGACATTTTTTTTATGTTAGATATTTCTCTAAATCTTATTTTTTTCATGATACAAAATTTATTAAAATTGATCAACCGATTATATGTGATTGAATAATTTTGACATGGTTGCTTTGAACAAAGTTAAAAAAAATAAAACAAAAAATAAAATAAAACAAACATAACTGTCATATTGCAAATGTGACTTTGTCATCAGACGACAGACTGAATAAACTGTGGAATATGAAACTTACAGTCATTCCGATAAATAAATAGTGCACTAGAAATCTCCACAAATACATATATATGTACATTGTCGAAGAAATTAGGATTCTAAGAAAGATTTGCGAAAGTGGTAAGTAAGGTGCTATTGATGTGAATAGACTTACTGTCATTCGATCCCGAGTGAGAATCAATGGATATCTGATAAGAAGTTGCAAATAAAAAGGCAATAAAAAAAGAAACATAAAAAAAGAGTACGAAATATTACATTAGTAATAAGCAAAATCAAATTGAAAGCAAAAACAAGTATAGCCAGTTAGGAACATCCTGAAGCCATTTCTGACCGTAGGTTTTTGGTTGGGATCCGGAAGGAAATGTGTATACAACAGAAATCAAAGGAAACAACAACAACAATAATAATAATAATAATAATAATAATAATAATAATAATAATAATAATGTGACTTGCGAGTTACATGTAGATACTTTCAATCGTGAACCGTGTAAGCGGACTAGAATACGCGAACTGAATTGTGCTCCACCTACGCTACTTTTAACAAAATCTGCCACCACATTACGAACATTTGTCTGTGTTGCATGTGCCTGGTATATACTTGGTATCGTGATGGGTATATTAGGCTTCGTATATTTGTACCCAAGGGGGTCTTTATTGGCGTGCTGCTCCCACGATCAATAATAATAAGACAATAATATCGATAACGATAAGACAATAAAATCAATAATAATAAGACAATAAAATCAATATAACATAAATTAGAGCAAAATGTACTTCACAGGAAAAATACTTAAAGATGAAAGAACCATTTGGTAAAATAAGAGATAGAATTAAGGAATAGATTCATATAGAACCAGAGAGAGAGAGAGAGAGAGAGAGAGAGGATGGAATAAAGAGGGATGAAAAGGGATGGAAAAATAGGGATGAAGAAGAAAAAAAAGGAGAAAAAAATTAAAAGAAAGAAGTAGGAAAAGGAAAAATAAGCAAACATAACGCAAAGCGATAAAGGAAGTAAAAAACGAGGGAAAGGAGAAGAAATAGACGAAGAAAGGAATACAGAGAAAAATAAAGAGAAATGGGAGGCAAGAAGGGTGAGAGAGAGAGAGAGAGGAGGGAAAGGAGGCAGAGTAAAAGAAGTAGAAAGGTGAAGAGCGAGTGGGATAATGATAGAAAGAAAGAAAGATGAAAGCGAGGGCTAGAGAGAGGGGAAGAGGGAGGTAGAGAAGAGAAATGGTGAGAGGCCGGGAATGAGGAAGCTGACTTGACACAGTGTAGGCACACAGAACGCGGTTGTTGGTCGATACGATTCTTGAATGAGATTCCTGAACGCGTTCAAGTGAAGAACACCTGCTAATGGCTGCTGTGTCTATTGAAAACATCCCGAGACTTGCAAGTATGCCCCATCGGTATAACAGCAGAACTAGCAGACTGGGAATTCACTCTTTCAAGGGAGACTTAAATGCTACTGTTTGATTTAAATGAAAATACGACTTTAGTAGATTTACAATGACATTGAGAGTCAGCTAAAATTTCTGGTATATATAATGCAGAAAGAAGGCTAGGGGAAGTTAATATTCACTGGGAATACTGAAGTAACCTAACTGAGTGAATGACAGAATGTGGGGAGGGGCTACCAAGACAAAGACGTGCAGTAAAAGGCAAGAATTACGCAGGCACGTGGCATATGAATGAAGAACAGGTTTTTTAAAATCGATTTCCATCTATAAGTATCGGAGGGTGTAGATCAAATTGTAACGGAGAGTATGGGGTTTCATGGAACTTGAGATGAATTATCACATTAGTAATTTATATCTATCTATCTATCTATCTATCTATCTATCTATCTATCTATCTATCTATCTATCAACTGGATGCGCGCGTATCATAGAGGTTACTGGTGTTTAAAAGAGGACCTCAATTCAAATCCAGTTTAGGCTGTTGCGTTCTCTTTATTACAGATACCCTTGGAAAGGCATGAATCTATCTATTCCCACCTCCTCCGCTAGGCAGTTTATAATATGGAAGACTGGTTCTAAGAGAACAGTAATTCAAAACTGTTGTGGCATGGAGGTTAGCAACTCTATCCTGTAAAAACCTACTTGTTACAAAAAATCTTTATGATGTGGCTGTGATCCTATATTCCAACGGGAAAATCGACGAGGTTAACATACACATATTATCGATCAATCAATTCCTCTCGTCACACACACACACACACACACACACACACACACACACACACACACACACACACACACATACGCAATTTGAAGTAATTTCACAGACCATTGATAGTTTTGTGATTGTGATTGCTGATCACCTCGAAAGGGGTATTTGATTTCTGTGAGAGTTACATATTTTTTCACTGGCACTAAAAATCGATGGTATCGGGTTTTAGACGAACTACGTATATACATGTAATACTAGAGACGGCCTTGTGGCCGGTGATCAACCCAAATTTAAAGAAAAATAAATTTTCCAAAATGTGTACTCAAGCAGATGGAAAGATTGGTGTAATTTAATGTTTCTCTCTTTATAATATATATATATATATATATATATATATATATATATATATATATATATATATATATAAAATATGTGTATTTAGGCAGCAATCATTTTTTCATGCACATTTCACTGAAGAGAACGGACGAGGTGCTTTAATTTTTTTATACAATTTCTCATGGGATCTAATAATTATTTACTTTTCAGATGATAAAAAAGAACATTCGGACAGTTTTTATATAATTTATTATCTGAATAGAAAACATATTAGATCACAAAAGAAATTGTATAAAAACTAAATCAAAACACCTTGTTTGTCCTATTCATGAAATATGCATATATATATATATATATATATATATATATATATATATATAATACAAATATAGTTTTAAGGTATGCTATATTTATGTGCTCAATATCAGGGATAGAACGAATATAAATATGAAAATAGCCTGAAGATTGCGTTCAAGCATGAAACAGACTTTCGCCGCTGGGTGTTGACGTCAACGTTCATATATATATATATATATATATATATATATATATATATATATATATATATTTGATAGAAAAAAGATGTATGATAAATTGGGAAAAGTTTCTATGAAGCATTTGATTCGTTAGAACTTCGTCGGAATGGATTTGTTTATGTTACTGTCATTGTATATGCGTACGAACGATAGATGCTGATAGTTTAAAAATTTTTAAAGATTTTCTTTTCAATCTAACCAAATTTATCTGTATTCCTTTCCTTTTTCTTTCCATCATCTTTGTTATTAAATATCTGTTGTGGTGCCTCCTACTAAAGAGTCTATGTTGGACACTTTCGCCTACTATAAGATTAGTAGGAGAGAAACCCTTGGGGGAACAGTCGAATAGATTGAATGCTGAGTCAACCGACACACACGTACTAGTCGTGTAATACTCTTCTGTTGTACTTACTGTTTAATATATGATATATATGCAACACTTGTTTTGTTATTTCTTTAACCGTTTACTTGGTCACAACACTATCCCACATTGTGATAGTAGAACTGCTAAGAATAGTGGGACATTTTAAGAACCGGGACGTAAATTTACTGTTGATGAATTAGCGATTAAAGCGCTTTCTAGATATTTTCATCTAAGTGAATTATTTTCTATTTTAAGTAGCATTTAAAATTTGGGCCAGCTTCGTTACGGTGAACTATCAGCGTCCCTCGTCCGTGCGCATGTGCAGTCACAACAACATAAACAAAACCAGTCCGATGAAATCCTAACAGATGAAACGCGTTACAAAAACTTTTTCAAATTTGCATGCATCTTTTCTTTCAAAACTGTTCTTGATATATAAAAAATATATATCTTTATATCGTTATCCCATATATATATATATATATATATATATATATATATATATATATATATATATATATATATATATATATATTACTTTTTTTTTATTACTATATCTATAGCTTACTTCGTGGCTAAGATAATTGTGCAGTTTCTATTATAACTAAGAAGGTTACAAAAAATTAAGCAGCACAATCTTTTTACCTTATTTTCCCTTCTACCGTATCAAGTAAACAACTATTACGGACCGTGTTAATATATTAAAGAGGAATGTTCAACAGCCTGTTGCATGATTGGGCTATTAAGGCTTCTAAATAGGAGAATGGTTTACGTAACTATTCGGCTACCCTTTCTCTTCTTTATTAATTATCGTGCTGTGCAAGTAATGAGGCAATTTATCAAGATGTTTTGTTGACGAAACAGAGCCAAGGGAGAATTAGAATCATGCCTTTTATAAGGATATTGGTGCTAAGTGAACATAAGAATTCGCAGCCAGAATATATATATATATATATATATATATATATATATATATATATATATATATATATATATTCCAGTCGAATCCATTACACTCACTTACGTGCTAATACCCTTGGGAAAGGTGTGAATCCTCTTTTCTGCCTCCAGCTATGGGTAAATAGCAGGACAGACTGGGTTCTATAGCCTTGGATGGCAAATGGTCTAGGAGAAGGAAAAACTCTGAATTCAAAACCTGCGGAGGGTCGGTTGGGGACCTTGTGGCACGTAGTGCACCAGGTCTCTGTAATCGGCCCTTCAAAAAGTGTGGATGGTTGTGCACGAAACCTTCACCACTATAATCAAAACTCATGTGCTGTTGTCGGGCTGTCGGTTTCCTGGGAACTGATCTGAAGCCTATACATAGCAATTAAATTCCAAATTCCCCTGAAACTCCAATATTGGAGCCGGCTCAACCCACCCCGGGTGAATGCCGTTACAAGTAAGTAGTAAGTAATATATTGCTATTAGTTTTAAAATAATATTAATAACAACGTATAAAATTATTATCAATTATATGACAATGTTTTATTATTATTACAATTATAATAATAATTATTATTATTATCATTATTGTTGCTGTTGTTGTTTTTAAAATATTTGAATGATAAATAATAATAATAAAAGAAGTGATATATGTATGTGTTTTTCATTGAAGCCGACTGACAATGTATTGTGATTAAGACATTTATTAAATTTTTCTTTCATTCGTTTCATTTTTGCACATTAGGTGTGTAGAAACATTATAAATAATAACTCGTCTGCTAGGTCTAAATTACAGAGGACAAATATTATTTATGAATTTACATCGCCCTTAATGAATAATCATATTGGACATACCTCTACATGCTTATCAGGGAGAATCTCTTTACATCTTTCGGATCATACCTCCATTAGGACCCATTAAAACACACACAGGGCCCAAACAATCTCCGTCCACAACATACTTGTGGAAAATACGACCATAAAAGCCTCATCCCCATAACAAAAACGGTTAAAAATAATTAAATATTATTAATAAAAAGAAAAATCCAACTCTCAATAATATCAACTATGAACAACGTGCTGACCGTGTTCAGAAACTCTCTCTCTCTGTATATATATATATATATATATATATATATATATATATATATATATATATATAAAAACTACATTAAAAATATTGGTAATGGCTAATAGTTTAGTTGAAAGCGCTCGGGTCAATAGAACAATGACAATTTTACACACCTTATGCACAGAAAATAAAATACTTGTATGATTGTAAGAAAAATTGAATAAAATGCTTAATCGCAGTGCGTTGTCAGTTGTTTCCAATGAAACTTGTATAAAAGAGGGATTGCTGTTCAAATACACAATTATATATAATCGACAACACAACCACCCTACACCATGAAAACAACAGATTTAGATTACAGATACTGGAAGCAATTTATATTAAAAAATTAAAACTGGAACTGACAAGAATCAACTGTGAATACTGCAGTAATGTTCTGAAATGCCTGTAAAGGAACAGTTTTTTCATGCTTTAATGCGCGCGTGGCCATGAGATTACAACTTAGAGGAAAAAAAATTACATAATGGATAGTTTTTTCACGTTCTAATGAACGCTACACATTGTCAACCGTTTTGCATTTAAAAGCATAATGAAAAAAAAATACGGTAATGGATAACAACGCACATCTTTGTATAAATACTTATATTAATGAACAACATATAGTTTTGTACCACTTGCACACCTGAAGATGATCTTGGAAGAAGATCGAAAGTACTTGGGAAATGAAAATAAAACGAATTTAAACAGCTATAGCACATTTCTCTCATCCTTTAACATCAATACACTGAAGGTTATTAGTGAGTATAAACGGATTTTATTAAAAATTAGCAGACGTATTGTTTGTAATTTATTCAGTCAGATATGAGAATTTGCTGCCTAAATACACACACACGCACACACACACACACACACACACACACACACACACACACACACACATATATATATATATATATA